TTAATGCATTTTAGATAATCAAAATTAGCAGGCACGTGTATTCCACTATGAATTCCACTATATGCATTTTCCATTTCCGTAAGGTGGATCTTCTTCTATATTTCTGGCAAGTTTATTACGAGTCGGTTGTAGCTTTGAGTTTCCGGTTTGCAGTGTGCTTCGTGTTCGTGTATTCCTGATTTGTGGAGTTGCTTTGACGGTATGTACCTTGTTAGATTTTCGATTTCCATGGATTTTCAAATTAAATCGTTGTGATAAATTTCTATACAGTGAGTTTTAAGAGTATGAATATTGAGTAGTCGGTTGAGTGCTATTTGCATGCACTATTATGTCTATTATTGTATTCTTCTTTATCAGTTGTCTACAAATTAGCTGTCCGTAAGGTGTTTGTGAAATAGTCTCGGCCAATAAATAGTAGATGGTTATTGTATTCCTCTTTATTAGTTGTCTTCAAAGTGTTTGTCAAATTGTCTCAAAGGAGAAATCGTTGATATGAAATAATCTATGTATGTGATGATTAATAATATGCAATTAAGGATGTTCTTACAAGGACCATTTTCAATTCCAATCCAGACCAGACTTAAGCAGACCAGATTTAAAGTAACAATTTTATTCTCTAGATTTAAAGTAAGAAGTACGGAGTATATCACAAGAAAGAAATAGAGGTAGTGAAATAGTGTTTCGGCCAAAACATATGTATGTGATGATTAATAATATGCAATTAGGGATGTTACTACACAGACGGTTTCCAATTCCAACCCAGACCAGACTTAAGCATACCAGATTTAAAGTAAAAAAATTATTCTCTAAATTTAAAGTAAGAAGAATATAATTATGTTTTTTGAATTTTTTTAAGACACTCATAGATAAAATATAGTCAAAGTATATCACAGTAAAGGAATAGAGGTAGTAAAGCAGACACATTTTTTAGTGTGCTTTGGTTAGAAGTATTAAAATTTTCTTGATTATTACACTATTACAGGAGAATCTTTACGAAATAAGCAGTTTTAGCTAGCTTGGGGTAAGTGTTCTATACATTTTGTTTCCTGTGTGTGATTATGTGTCAATGTGAGGTTTTTTTTGTCTTATTATGATTGTTGAGTATATTTAAATATGTTACATAGTTAAGGCTCTCCCCATATGGGACTTGGAGAATCATCTTCCAAATCTTTTAGGCGCAAGACGAAGCGTGATCAAACAAACTTTAGGCGTAGGCTTTGATACCGTGAATTGCATCCACATAATTTGACTTTGTGTACTCGTAACATTGTAGTTAATACCTCAGGTGAAATTTACGTTGTTGTGTCATTTGTTAAAATGTGGTCTTCGTATTGATTTAAGGATTAACTTATTTTTTGTTGTCGCTTCGTTACCCTGTCTTCGCTTCATAACGATGAATCTTTCTACGAAACCACACACTGAACCTGATCTTGAGTTCTTCTTAAAACCCACACCATTGGACTCTGTCATATTTATTTCTTTTCTTTCTATTGATTGTGACAAATCTATTTGTTGGTCCAAAATAGGACGCTCGTAGGCTTTTAGAAAAGCTACGTAGGACATTGAAGCAGGAATTAGGAAAGCAAGAACGAGAATGAAAAGTGCTCAAGGATTTTGGTAGCCAGAAATAGCCTACAGAAATCGCTTCCCCTAATCTGAATTACAACCCGCCTTTTATAGGCGTATACATATCGTAACCGCTATCGATAATAATGACTAATTAATTACAGCATTAATATATAATTAAATACATAATTAATAACGCATTAATTGTTTGATCATTACTCTTCCGGGCTAGGAGGTCGGCTGAACTAGCAGGCTCCCTGCTGGCTGGCAGGCAGGCTCCAGGTTATGGACTTGGATCCACGGGTCCAAATTCGGGGCTTGGGCTGATTAGGCTCTGGGCCTAGTCCCATTACTCCATCACTATTCTTAATATTTATGCATCCTTTTTTGACTCAAATCGTTGAATCCTTTCTATCTGAAAATACTCCTAAAATTCCATCGTCGTTATTGGGCTTCAACTATTCCCGTTGAATATAAGCAACCGTAGAGGATCTACCATTCCGGTTAAATATGATCAATGATTGCTTTTATTGTGGTGCGAAACGAATGCAATATGAGCCTCCAGGATTTTTTTGTTGTTCTTCTGGTGAGGTCGTTCTTGTCTCAAATAAGATGCCTATTAAGTTGAGAGAACTTTTTATAGGAAGAGGAAAGAGTGCCACACAATTCCGCTCTTGTGTTAGGATGTATAACAACACGTGTGCGTTCAAATCTATAGGCATTTATAACTTTGACAAGGCACTGTGTCAGAGAAATAAAGGCATTTATATATTCAAGGTGCAGGGTCAGATATATCATTTTATTAACGACTTGTATCCTGATGGGTTACCACCCAAGAATTTGTAGCTTTATTTCTTTGACACGGATCATGTTGTTGAGAATACACTCCAAATAATTGATCGAATGGATCCTCAAAATGTGTCATATTTGATGGAAATAGTTTCTTCTAATCCTTATGCACAGTTTTTTAAAAGTCTAGGAGATTTCTTACGCACGGATGATTTCAGTATTTTGTTACACTCTAATTGCTCTCAAGATCACAGAGTTTACAATGCTCCGTCTGCGTCTCAAGTGGCTGCTATGTGGTTAGAAGATGGCAATAGTGGTATTGAGGGGAACAGAAATATTCGTGTTTATGCACATAGTGGCAGATCTCAAAGTATCTAGTATTATTACGGGTGTTACGATCCCTTACAATACCCTTTACTATTTTCGCACGGTGAGGTAGGTTGGCATGAGGGCATTGAGAGGGTTTTGCAACGTGGGCGTGTTAGATCTGGTTCGCAAAGTCATCTCTTATGCCCTCGTGATTCTGAACTCGCTTCTATAGACAATATCATTGACACAGAAGAGCAAGCATTCAGTGAGGGAAAGAAAAAAAGGACAGTTTCTTGTTGAGAATATTACGCTTGCAAGTTTCAGATTCGTGATTCAGATCGCAGTTTTTACTGCATACTGGGAGGTTATTGCAACAATAATTTATTGTTGATATTTATGTGAAGATTGAAACTCAAAGCTTGGATTATTTTAGCAAAAAAAAGTGAAAGTCGTTCTGAATTGTATCAAGGTCTGGTTGACAGTTTCCATATGGGTATTACGAACGGGCAGTCTGTTGGTCGACGGGATCTTTTATTGGGGGACCTCGAGACATGCGAAGGAGATATATGGATGTGATGGCATTGGTTCAAAGATATGGTAAACCCGATATTTTCTTAACAATAACTTGTAATCCTAACTTGTTGAAGAAAAACTACCCTATCATTCTGTTGAGGAATTTAAATCCATGTGAAGGTTTATGTAATGGTACACGTTTAGTTTGTGAATCCTTTAGAGATCATGTTATCAGTTGCACAATTGCCGTCAGTGAACACAAGGGTAAACATGTGTTTATCCCAAGGATACCTTTAGAAACATCAAAAGATGCAAACTGCCCCTATCCATTTAAAAGAAATCAGTTTCCTATAAGACTGTGCTTTGCAATGACGATTAACAAATCACAAGGTCAAACCTTGGATTTTGTAGGGATTTACTTAGAGACACCTGTATTCACACATGGACAACTCTGTGTGGCCATGTCATGTGCAAAAAATGGACATTCCATCAAAATAATTGTGGAGGATGAGTTCAACAAAGACAAGCTCACCAATTTGACTGACAATATGAATACTGGCCATATCCTCAAAATGACAACTTGAGACACCAAATTCCTTTGAAGAGCCAGCCAATGTTGACCCAAGCATCAGACCAAAGCGTGCCAACATCAATACACCCAACCAAATCCCAATGACAGAAGAAAGTGAAGAAGACGAGCCCCTCATCAAGACAATCCAAGGAATCAAGAAAAAAGGCTACAAGTAACGGACAATGCATGGACTCCTTTAATGATAACATTTTGTAATATCTAGCACATGTAGAAATCATAACTGCATGATCCGCTGCTAATGTAAACTACTCTTTTCCGATTCTTCGTCGCCATATCACTCAAGTCAAGTTTTACTCTTCTATTTTCTTATTTATCTGATTTTTGGATAAACGGGGAGTTTCATAATGCACCAATGACTATTATGAATGCACTTTTACGATCATTTTTCATTGTTCTTTGTACTTTTTAAATGCGTCTCAAATAGGGCATGATCTAAACAAAAAGGTTGTTTAACATAAAAAGAAAGATATTTTCATTCTTAGTTTGCTATACGTACTGCACCTTTAGATTCGACTTGTGCACTCTTTTGCGGTATGTGCCAAAAATGACCACTTATTTATAAGTAGAAATTAAGAGGTTAAATTTATCTAGAAAATAAAGAATGTATATATTAATCACACTAATATCCCTAATGGCTGAAGAGATGAGGTTTAATTGAAGATACTGCACATCATAATCCTCCATTATTCTCATGATCAATCAATATTGACGGACTACTATCGGCCAGCCTTTTTGGGGACAGAGTAGTTTGCTTAGTGAACGATAATGGGTGATACAGATCTTTAGTTGGGTTTATATATAGTTCATCTTGAAAAGGATTAAGAATAAATCAAATCCTTCTACTCTCTAATCGCATCGACTTTAAAAAAATAAACAAATTAAATATATAAAAGGGAATTATCTGAAAGGGATCTTTGTTGGATGATGTTTGCACTTGGCCCAATTGTAATTTTATGGTCTAATTTGTTTCAATTTGGTAATACATGTTTGGTATATATGTGTATCTTACAATTCTCTAAGTCTGTCTAATTTGATCTTTTCTGATCTGATCTATTCTGATTGGTCTAATCTGATTGACAATACAAAAAAATTACGGGATTGACGTGGAATTTGGCACGGATTTATCAAATTTTCGTGCCAAATAGCTCGTGTCAAAGTGTTTCGGCCAAAATCTCTGCTGCCGATCCCATGTTTTTTTGTAATTTGAAATAAGTTGAAGTGAAACATCCTTAATTAGAGTATTTAAAAAATAAAAGTGGTACAAAATTCTTTTTTCAATTTATGATCATACATACATCTCATGGAGATGGTGATGCTCAAATTGCTACTGTGAATCTCTAGTATTATTCATATACTAGAAACTTGCGGAATGCATAGAGCTTAAGAGGCTCTAACCCTTATGAGCTCTAGCTATTGTCCAGTTATAACACCAGGATGGTTCGGCACTCACATAACTATGTCATACTCTTGGTTTGTTTCAACATACATTTGGCTTTTACATGCCTTGATATTTCCTTTGCGGTCAGCTGCTTGTCTCAATTCATTCATGCTCCGATGGATCTCCATTGGCAAGGGGTCAAACACTTGTCAGAAATATGTTATCCACACTAAACCGCTTGGTAGCCACTTGTTCGAAAAAATTTCAGTCCAAGTTAGGATTAACCCATGGAACCTCTATCTTGCAGAACCTCTGTCTTGCAGGACGTATTAGATCATCACAAAATATATAATCCTTATCAATCTATTTAGTTATACGGATTTACCCATATCAGTTAGAGTTGTTATCTAATATATTCTAACTTACACATTACTTAATATAATACAGAGTAAGAAATTTCTACTTCCCTATCGAAACGCAGAAAGCACAAAAGCGTCTCCATATCTTCACATGGGTTGTGGCCTGAATACATATAATTTGGATAAAATAAAACCTTCTCAAGTGCCGGAAAGCGGCAAAGTAGCCATTTGAAGAATAGCATTTCAGGATCTGACCCTTGAAACCAGCAAACAATACTTAAATCCCGAATTGTATCAAATGTTTGGGCCAAAGTATGCTCAGGGAGCTCCAATAGTTCTTCTGCACTTGCAACCCCTGCCCCGAACTAAGCCAAAATGCATAGCACCAAAAGAAACAAAAAACTCAATTTAACATTCAAAGATCAAGAATGAACTGAAAAATGCAAACTCAAAACTTGAGAGATAGTTCTTCGCAAAACAGAAGATTACTGTTAAATGTATGTCAAGTTTGATCAACAGTGGGCACATCCGCAACAAGTGAAAGCACGTCGATATGTTATCCGAATACTTGTCATACAGGCGTAGCTGCAGGTGTTCCACATTGAGTGTAGTTTGTTCTTGTCCCGCCCAAGTTAACTCACTAACAAACCTCTTGAAATAAGAATAAGTGAAAGTTGAAAACTGTCATTTTATCAAAAGTAAATCAATATAATCTAGAAGTAATATTAATAAAATAAAAGCCTGTATTATATACCTCAAGGTCAATTGTTTCTAGATGAACAGAGTGGATAGTTCTCAAGTCTAACGTAACCGGAAGAATGAGACACGAGTTTCTTCCAACAATGTAATACTCACAAGCACGAAATCTCAAACTTCTAAGCTTTGGGGCAGTAAAGTTAAAACCAGAAATGCTTTCACAAGTTAGATTCCTAAGCATAGGAAGTTCAGCAGCAGAACATTTTCTGTGATCAAACTGGATGTTTTCTAATAAAAGTGTAGTAACATTCAGGAATATGCACGCGGTGCTAACTTGTTCAAAACAGACTCCCGAAAGATGCAACGTCTTTAACGATGGGCAAGAATATATGCAATCTGGCAATATGTATGCCGTATGTTGGCCAAAAGAGAGGTGCATTTCTTCAACACCACTCTGGGTGAGACAATGTAACCATTCATCAAAGTCCAGCCACCTAGACTTATCTTTACGTGGTCTTATGAAGTTACAATCATCATTATCATTACCCCAGTGTCGCAAAAGCTCCCACCTACAGTAGGGTAAGGGGAGTCTTATTAAGTTACAATCAAACACAAATTTTCGAATAGGTCCGTTGTGTTTGATGATGATTGTGTCGATTACAGACATTGGTGATTGACTTGATTCTGCTATATAATGGTCCTGAATGTATTTGAAGAAGTGGCTATCAAAGTTGAGGTGTGAAAGACTTAACCAAGCATCTCTCAAACTCGTACACAAAATGGCAGATTTAGCAGCTTCTTCAATCCGCAATAATCCCAAAATGTGGGCAAGTATGTCCAGAGGAAGTCCACTGATTCTGTCTTTTACCTCCATAGCAGATAACTTTACTATACAAACCCGAAATTGGATCAAGAAAAAAGATGTTAAAATATCTTCAGAAATCCTGCAATGAATATGCAATTTAATTCCTTATGCCCAATTGAGATACTCACAAATTCACAATCCAAATCCTTTATCTTGTGGGCAAGGAGAATCTGAAGAGTGAAAGCTAATTTTCAAGGACAGAGGCGGAAAAGTCACAGTTGGCAATTTTAGGCAAGGGGATTATTTGTTTTAGGCAAAAAACTTTTTTAATGTTTGCGCTATTTCTATTTTTAATTGCTTTTACGTTGTTCTTTATTTTTAATGCATCCATATTGTAAGGGCAAATACTATAATACAAATGTGAGTATATAAAAAAAATGCCTTCATATATTTTCTATTTTATGAATAAACTATAGAAAGAATTATATGAAAAATAACTTAAATGATCATGCCAATTCAGGGGTAATTTTAACCTTACTTATGTTTATTATTAGACAATTCAACACGTGGAATCAAAAGTTATGTGCTTGATATTAAAAAGGTTTGTCACTAAAATAAGGATAATAATTGAAGTTTGAAATAAGGGTCACAAAATGGACTTTCACATTTCACTTGACAGTTGACATATAAATGAGAAAGAAAAATATTATTGTTGCGACTTAAATGACTTAACTATGTATTGGTTGAATTTGATGAAATCAAATGTTATAGTTTTTTGTATATAGTTGAGTTTTTATTTAATACGGAGTAAAGTTTACGGAGTAATTAATACTAGTATAGTTTTTCATAATTTTGTGAATTTAACGAATTAAATGTTTTGACAATAATTTTAGTATTTCTAAAATAATAAATATTAAAATAATTGTTGAAACATTAAAATACAACTAGCTGGAAGCTAAGAAGCCTCATGAAGGGAGGTATTAGTACCGATCAGGGGCAATGGCTTTTACCACATCCAAACAGGGTGATTAGAGTCCAGGTGAAACCGAAGCTCTGGGAGTTCGAACCGCCATCGCTATTCGGGAAGTCTGAGAAAAATTTGAATTCGAGTACGGGGCTGAAAGTTTTAGCCTCTCTATTTATAAAGGTCTGCGAACCTGGTTGCTCATTCATTAGCTACGGAAGGCATATTACTACCAGATCAGAAAAGTACTTCCTCAGTCCCAAATTGTAAAATATATTTACTATATTGACATGGTCAACATAAATATCTCTTAATCTTTTATTTTGATCTTTTAGTTTCTGAATATGCAAATTTTATTTTCTAAAACTAATTTGAGTGTGGACGGGGATCAATTTACTTTATCGTCCATCAAACATCGTAAACCGTAAAGTATCTTACAAATTAGGACGGAGGGAGTAATTTTATTGGTATTCATGATTGTATTGTAAGCCAGGTGGCTACTGATTTGATTACTTAATGATCTGATTTTCTTTTGCAAAAATAAAATAACAATAATTTTAGTACTTCAATATATTCACACAAATTCAACCTAATCAAACGAGTTGTTATTCGTTTACTAAGGGTGTTTTCAATTTTCACTAGGAGTGAATTCAACTTAGAGCATACCTGATCTAACTGCATATATATATATATATATATATATATATATATATATATATATATATATATATATATATATATATATATATATATATATAATGACTAATCTTATATACATACAACTGTACATACCTAGATGCCTGAGAATAAATATAGAGCGTGTACACTAGGGTTATTTTCTATTGTCTAGACTTAGAATGTATGGAGTAATAATTTTAAATGTCGTCGTGTATGTATTAATAAAAAAAATTGAATACAAAATTGCCGCAGAGTCCTATTCTAGCAAAAAAAATTGCCCCGCTACACTAGTGGAAAAAAATTCTCCACGCTATACTAGCGAAAAAAATTCACCCCCTACACTCATGAAAAATTTCGCGCCCCTTGCCCAGAAATCCTGGATCCGTCCCTGGGGGCATGTACACTAGGGTTATTTAATTTTCCTTAAGGACTATGGTGGGAAGCCAAATAAAAGTATAAAACCTAATATTTTTATTAATTTTTTTAGTAATCCGTATTAACTTCTCCGTTTTCCTTTAATTACATTATAGTACTACCTCCGTCCCTTAAAACTTTGCCAATGTTGACCGACACGGAGAATAATAATGTAAAAACTGTGTGATTGAGGTTTGTGCAGAGGAGAGAGAAATAACAGAAACCACAAAATAATTGATTAAAAGGGAAAGTAGCAAACTTGAATTTACTGATTTGAATGAAATATCTTTCCTTGAATTTCATTCAAATCAGTAAATTCAAGTTGGTATCAGAGCTCAAGTTGGTACAAAGTTAGGGACGGAGGGAGCAGTAGTTATTATTTTAAAATTTAAATAATCTAATACGTACAATTGCAGTACGTATAGAAACAGCAATGTATTCAAACGTCAAACCCTATTGTATAAACATATACCCGTATATGAACTTGTAGTATAAGAATTCAAGTAATATAATTAAGCAGAGGTACGATCAATTCAACTCACACGTTATTGCCGATCTACGTACGTACTTTGAAGCTGTTATGCGAATTGGCCTGAAGATCAGTAAGCACTAAATAATTAAATCTACAGTACATATTTAGCGGCGACGGTAGAGGTTTTACGCGGGTTGCATATACTCACAGCCAACAGCTGAATTCGGTGCGCAGAACGGGTTCACTTTTAAGTGGGCTTCAAAAACACAAAAAGTTATTAATGTTTAATTAGTACGTAGTACATACGCCATACGTTTGATAGTAATGACTCTACATTGCTCATTTGGTGATCAGCGACATGTGCTATTTTTTGGAGATGATCGTTTAAAAATTTGATTGTAGGACTTTTCTTATGTCCGGATGAAGTTTGTTAGAAGATGGTTCGATTTTGAGTTATTGGTTGGTCGTAAGTGCAAATCATTGGTTAAATTAGGATGTACTATCTCCGTATCGCATTAGTTGCAACATTGCAAATTACACACTATTCATGTACTTTACTTTGACTACATTTTATTTACTAATGTATGTGAATTATTTTTTTTGAAAGATATTGTTGAATTCGTCTCATTAAAAAGTTTCACAAGATTTTTAATTATTTTTTAATAATACAGAATTAAATATAATGACGGTTAAAGTTGTGCGTTGGCAAATGTGAAAAAGTGAATGTTGCAACTAAAAAAGAACGGAGGAAGTATTTATTTGGATTGTTTTCAGTCCTGGACCAGAAAAGACCGGACCAAATCAAACCAGACCAGAAAATTCCAGTCCGAAGTAAAACATTCGCAGATGTACTCCTCAGATGTCACCGCAGTTGTACTCCTCAGGTGTCGCCTTAGCTGTTCATCTGCTCTGATATAGTCGTTGTGGTCTCCTTTCTGAACCATCGGTCGCCGATGTAACTTCTCTCTTCTTCTCCTTTCTTCTCACCCATGACCGGCTATGAGTTTTGTCACAAATCTGGCGATGGTGAGTTTTGTCACAGATCTCATATCAAGTCGGGGAGATCCAACGACATCTGGGGTCCATTTTAATAGAGTAATTAATACCCATTAATTAGGTTTCCATATTTATTATGTTTCCTATTGTACTAAGGACTCTTTATTATATATATGACATCTAGGGCTACCTATTGGGTAAGTCATTCCATTATTCTCACATGGTATCAAGAGCTCTAGGTTTTAGCCACAACTAATTTTTTTTTCCGGACCTATGGCTTCCTCCGGCTCTCCTACCGCCGCCGCACAACCAGTCACCACCGCCGAATCGGCTGTGACTGCACCTCTGTCGAGCGCGACGGAAACTGCTTCGCCGACGGCGGCGCTCTCCTCCACGGATGACCCGCTCCGATCGCAGCCCTACTCGATGTTCTCTTCCACAGTTCCGACAGCGTCGTGGGTCCCTCCCATCTTCACTTGGACTCCGTCAGCGCTGACCTTCCGCCCCATGGTTCAGCCGCAACGCTCGCCGCCTCCAGATGTTCCGCACCACACCGCCAGCACCTCCGGCGTCCCTCGGTTCGCAGGGCCAACGTTGTCAGGCAGTCCGGATGTCCATCTGCCTTCGGGAAAGACATTTGTATGGAAGACCCTTTCTGCTGCCATTAGGTCTAAAGGGGAGATTGTTCTGAATGTTGCATCAAGTGGTATCGCATCTCTTCTTTTACTGTGTAACGTATGGCTCACTCTCGATTTGCAATACCAATAAGTCTGAACGAAGACTCCACATGTAATATTAAACAAGGAAGTCTGATGACCAAGCTTATTGTGCGGTGTAAGCTGATAATATGGGACGAAGCCCCAATGTTACACATGTTTTGTTTTGAGGCATTGGACCGCAGTATGAGAGACATAATGTAGTTCCATAAACCAAATAGTGGGGCTCTTCTTTATGGGGGGAAAACAATGGTATTTGGTGGGGATTTTCGGCAGATGTTGCCGGTGATACCTCATGAGAGTAGATAGGATGTAGTCAGTATCACGATTAATTTATCATATTTGTGGTCGGAATGCACAGTCCTTCGTTTGACAAAGAATATGCGCCTGCAGAACATGACTAATCCAGCAGATTCTAACGATTTAAAGGTCTTTTTGGATTGGATTGACAACATTGGTGCAGGGTTGCAGGTGAAAGTAATGACAGTCATGTTCGTATCACTATTCCTTAAGATCTATTGATATGCACAAATGGATATCATATAGCTACATTTGTTGAAAGCATATTTCCGGAATATGTTGAATCTGCAGGTGATATGAGTTGTTTGCGCGACCGTGCCATTTTGGCACCGACACTAGCTGTGGTTGAAGCCGTTAATGACTAAATGATGACTCTTAATGTTGGTGAAGTTTCAAGGACTTATCTGAGTTTTGACAGTGTTTCAAAGGTTGATTCTACGACCGATCTAATGGCGGAACTGCACACACCAGAGTTCTTTTTTTTTTTACTCCAGGGGGCGTCTGCTGGAGGGGGTTGCGGGAGCATGGAGTAATCTAGGCTGAAACTCACTCCATTGAGTTTCGAACCGAAGACCTCGCGTAAGGAGAGTAAGTCGGCGACCAGCTGGGCTGGACCGCTTCCTCACACCAGAGTTTTTGAATAGTATAAAATTATCCGGTGTACCGAATCATGAGTTAACGTTAAAGGTAGGGACCCCGATGATGCTTTTGTGAAATATAGACCACTCATTGCGGTTGTGTAACAGCACTCGACTTATTCTAACGAGGCTCGATGATAATGTTTTGAAGGGGAAGATTTTAACTGATGTCAGTGCTCGACAAAAAGTATTAATTCCTAGATTGTCCTTGACCCCATCCGATGCCCCTTGCCTTTCAGATTTCAAAGACGACAATATCCTGTTATGACTTCATATGCTATGACTATAAATAAAAATTAAGGTCAATCTTTATCCTGTGTTGGGTTGTTGTTGAAAAACCCGATATTTACACACTGACAGTTATATGTTGCAGTATCGAGGGTTACCAATCGTTGTAGTTTGAAAATTCTAATTGTTGATGAAGATGAAGTAACCTCTGACAAGACTCAGAGTGTTGTATTCAAAGAAGTGTTCACCCTTGTTTAGGTTTACATGAAATACATATTTACAATGTTATGGTTTCTACGTATTTGTTGGATGTTTTTGCCCCTGTTTGGATATTGGCGGCTTAGCCTAAACCACCATCTTTATACAAAGCAAAGTGCTGCTTTTAGCACGGTTTGGCGTGAAACCTCCAAAAAACAAACAGACCCTAGAGACATAATATTTTAAGTGTGTTTCGTTCATTGCTTCGATCTATATCAGTATTCCCTAGAGACATATATCGTCATCAATTGATAGTGTATTTTGAATTAGTGAGCACAAATAAATTTGAAAGAAAAATTCTCCGACCGTGCATCGCACGGGTGAGTTTACTAGTGTACCATAACAACAGTATTACTCTCACTAGACATTTGTATATTCGGAGTGGTATATATATTAATAAATATATTAAGAGAGGAAGAAGAATTTTTTTGTATTCAAAATTTGAGGATATGGGGAATGGGTTTTATAGGATAAATGAGCTCAATGTTCGGTAACATTTTTGGTTTAAAATTGAACACGTATATAATGGACCCATTTTTTTTGGCTTTTGCTCTATGGATCGGACAAGAGTAAATGGAATTGTTTTGGATTTTATCACCATTCTCCTAGTCGGATTCCATAATTCCGACTACATATTTATTTAATTTTCCAATCTCCCCTAGTTGGATTCCATAGTTCCGACGAGGTTTTCTAAACCCAAAATTCGGAAGCCCTCCCCTAGTCGAAATTGTCAAGTCAGACGGGAAAAGCTCGTATTTTGGTAATTTTCTTGATGATTGATTGCATATTTGCATGGGTGGATTGATTGCATATTTGCATGAGAGGCATAATGTTTACCAGCTCTTTAAGGCAATTGAGGGTGTAATATATACCCTGTGAGAGACATCATATATATGACTTCCAAGATAGAAAAGAGCTTCTGGTATGAATGAAGGAGAGCAATGTAGTAG